TACATATACCAAGTATATGTGATTAAAGATTTGCAGTATAAAAGTAGACTTGCAAGTAAACGTAGAGTAAACGCAATTAGCTATCTTTTAAAAGGATTAATGATTCAGAAGGGCCTTCATAAATAATTAAGAAATGTTTTAAAAAAAATCATTAGTGAAACTTCAAAAAAATATGACTAAATTATTAAGATTGTTATTATTGTTTTGTTAACAACAACATGTTGTTAAAACAAACAGAAAACCAATTTGTGTTGTAATTGGTTTTCTTGATGGTTTGAGAATAAATCAAAATTGTAAACCAATTTGTGTTAGTTTCTTAACAATTTATTACCGAATTAGAGTTCATGATTCATGAGGTTGCTGATTGGTTCTTTTTGTCTTAAAAAAATATTCTCATTGATTAAATAAAAAGAATTAAAACAAAAGAGATAAGGAATTCTCGAACTTGAGACATCAATCAAAAATTCCTAATTCATCAACCAAGTGAGCCAATAAATATTGTTGTAAATTACTCCCTAAAATATGATTAAATCTAATATTTATGATTAAGGGCATTAGGATTTTAACTAAATTAAAGTATATATCATCAAACTTAAATAATAAAGGTATAGATGGACAAACTAAAAAAAATCATTTATTTTCAATTTTCCCAAATAAATAATAGGTGTCAATCAATGAACAATTTAAAGGACTTATCATTTAATTTGATCAACTAAAATATTTCAATTAAAAGTATATATCATTATGGTAATTCTCTACATATTCTCATTAGTATTTAGCATAAAAACATTAATACATGTTCTAAAATACTAAACTCAACTAAATGTTTTCTTTATTTTAAACTTGTAACATCTATTTCTGATATATCAACAAACTTTTTCTTATTATATTTATAACAATGATCTATTGTGTAATTATGTATTTAGATTAACATATTATACAAATATTTTTATTATGATATGTACTCTATTTAATCACACTTACAAATTACATTTCTTGGAAACATAATCGTTTTTCATTTGTTATGTCCAACAAATTCATATAAATCTAGAATTTTTATGATTTATCATATGTTGTATAATTTACACAAATAATAAAGATCAAATTTATATGTAAAAGATATTGAAATAAATAATATTTGCATATGTTTTGATCAGTTTATAAATAAAAATATTTGCTTGGATGACATTAGTTTGTCAGCTTGTTGTCTCTTCTAAAACATCAACATTGTTTTTTCAACTATTCTAAGTTTTGTTAGAGAATATGTAGCTTCCAAGTGATTTATGGTCTTGGACATTGGTTTTAGCAGCATTTGCAATTATTGGCCAAAGATCTGAAGTTTTCCGAGTGGTTGGAGCTAGGAGTAATTGTAGAATCTAAACCTACACAAATCTCACACATGCTTCAGAAAGTTTCATATCCAAAACATCTATGTGATGCCATAATTAAACTACCTTTCATTTCAGGATCACCCTAGCTTGAGTTACCATCGACAAATCGAAAAAATGACTATTAACTCATGTTGAACTCTAGAAATTGTTAATAAATAAATAAGTGAGTAAAAAGAAATGGGTCAGTTCACCTTTTTCAATATGATATGCGACACCTACCATTGATCTTTACATGAATTACTACTTGCGAGGACATATACAATGCCACTTTATTCATTCTTGATCATCTCGTGTATCTTGATGACTCACTTTATTTGTTAGTGATCAAAATAATAAAAATTTGCCATGTGTTCTACTACGGAGTGCTGATGTGGCATCTCATGGAGAGAGCCATTCAACTTTTATTTAGTAGATGGCTTAAAGCATCATTATCTATCTTGTCATTAAAAAATAATAAAAAAAATTATTATTTACATGATTTTTCACTGATTCGTTTCACCCAGATGAAACGCTTGAGACCGGATCATGCGGCCACGTGTCAACAAACAATTGGAACCTTTTTTTTTTCCTGCCCCAAACCCAAAAAATTCATAGATTCTTCTTCTCTTCAAGCAGAGTCGCTCTCAAACGCCATGGATACCTCCGAACTCGCTAACAACCCTCAATTACTTCAATACCTCAACGTAAGTCTCCGATTCCCGTTTCCTGAGATCTAAATAGCTCTTCCAGCCTAAAGTTTTTAAGTCGATTCGAATGGAAACTGAACTCATTTCCCGTAATCTCACACTATCCGAAGTGGAAGTTGTCTCCATGTCCTCTCTCATCATGTGTTGTTTAGTTAGGGTCGATTATAATCGAGAGTTGAAGTAAAAGTGTAGCAGTTTGATTTGTTCCTTTGTCATGGGTTTATTATGCATTTAGTTAAAATGTTGATAGAAGTGTATGTGTGGTGATTTGTGGCAGCAACAAAAAGAGAAGGCGATGGTGAACCAAGCGGCGGCGAAGTTGACGAGCGTGTGCTGGGACAAATGCATCACAGACAAACCGAGGCTTGTAAGCTATTTTCAGTCTCTAAGTGACTTCATTGTCCAAAAGAAACCCGGATTGCAACCGTAAATATTATTTATGCATAGTCGGAGTTTCTTTCATCTGTTTTCTCGAATGTTAATGAATGTGATTGTTATGAATGTTGTCAGGAAATGTATTCCTGAAGCATGGATCTGAGCTAAGACTGATCTCGCGCGATAGAGTTGGAGCTGCTTTTGTTATGGATCCATGAATGTCATAAGCAATGAGTAAAAAACTCAGTTCAATACTACTTTAAAAGAATACATATTGAAATGGTTAATATACACAACTTGCTATTTGAATAAATGTGTTGATGCTCACATCCTTTTAGGGAATTTGATCGATGAAAATTTTTTATGAATGCGTATGATTCATATTCGTATATGCTTTTATATAATGTATGTGCACTAAATAGAGAGTATGCTTCTCTCTATCTATGAATGTGAACTTCAAACGTTTATGCAACACCGTAAAAATTTNGCACAATTGAAGANTAAAGACGATTNANTTATGTTTTT